GAAAGCAACTCAAAGGGTAGATGATTAGTTTGGGGACAAAGCAATCTACCGGTTTGCAAATCAATGTTTAATATTAAGCCATTTTATATTCTAATCCCCTTTTTGTTGTTTGCACGTATCTGTTTGTATATTTAGACAAACATAGATTTCTAAAATCTATTTCTCTATCGATTTTGGTCTTACTGAGGTTTATCCTTCCTCAGGACTCAGTTACGATCACAGTTACACACAAACAGCCCACTTCATAGACTGTACTTTACTCTATTTTATGTACACACTACATACTACTCTTCTATAAACACGTATTTCTTTTAGATCTTTAAATTTTTTTTCCCCTGCATATTACGTGCTCCTTCAAAATCATGTAATGGTTTATAGTGACAATAATGATCTTGATTATATTGTATCTTCTAAAAACCACAGTCTTTTATTATTTCATTGTAGTACCTTTATCCATCTACAGCCTCAGACCTTCTGACACCTCCAGCCTCCAACCTTTTTCCAACAGACCCCAATTATTCTGCTTATGTTTCTGGGTGGATTTTTCCTTCAGACACTGTTTGGAAGTAAAGACGCCTCAAATAAGCCAAGAGCCTGGGGGCAAAGTTCACATATAAAACTGTAACCATCCCCGAAGTTAAGCACAAACACACACATGGTATAAACAAACACCTAGCTGAGACGCATTTCCCTATCCTGACTCCCTTAAAGGGTAAAAAACATCAGAAAGAGCACTGCTTGAGTTTCTAATACTATGTAAACAGACTTAGTGTAAGGCAAAGAGGAAGAGGGGATAAGGATAAGGAGTGAAAGTGTGCAAAGGGAGAGAGTGGATAAGGCTGTGGGAGGAGAAAAGACTGGTGAGGAAGGAAGAGTAAGGTGCGGATGGTTGAAAGGCAGACGGCAGATTTAAAGGACTTAAAGACAAAGTTTGACAGAGAACTTGAACTGTACAGAAAAAATCTAGACCTAACTAAAACTATTTTTTTTTCATCTAGCCAAGTATAAAAAAATATTTTCCCTTACAGCCTTTACTGATTCAAATTAGAGTGCAATTAACATGAAAGTACTGAAATAAGTTTTACATTCTTAGGGGCTTAAAAGGCTAAAATTGATGATATCCCATCTTGCAAATGTTGGATGAATTTTAAATGATTATACAGTACTGTTAGTATTCATTGTTGCTGAAGAAATGATCTAGAGCTATCTTGAAAGGTAATTTTGAAAGATCCCCTTTACTGTCAGAAAGCTGCATTCTCTGCATGCTTTTAGAGCCCCTTTGCTTCCTTACAATTAAAGGCTTGACTACTGTTCACCATTGCTTTGATTTTTTGGATTTAGATTTTTTTGGGCAGGAATTTGATAAATTTAATGCCAAGACGAAGCCATTTCTTAGAGCTGTTATAGAACAACTAGGATCTGGCAACACCTGAGCTTCATCTCATGCAAAATAATCCTCCTACTCGTGTTGGTGCAAAATACTTTTGTGTTGACGTTGGAACATTACTCAGAAGTAAATATTCAGATATTTTTCACCAGCTATAATTCATAAAACAATTATTTATATACTATACATTTTTCAATGAAAAAAACCCCAAACTTTTAACCTGAAAAAAAAAGTCTTAGCTATGGCCTTTAATGGCTGGTTTACTGCATGCTTTAGATGTGAACCTGCTCCAACACTGCAGATTGAAATGGTTTAATTACATCTCAGCAGGCGATCAGAATCTAGCTGAGCATGTATCGTTCATCTACTTATGGTGTGTTCACCCAGGAAAACATGTAAATGTGAAGGACAATGTATTTATAATTATTACAGATTTTGGAGGTGTTTCTTATCAGTAAAACAGAAAAACCTAATGAACCCCCTGGGACCAACGTAACTGTGTCCACAGGTTGAGGCTAATAAATAGTTTTTCAATTGTGGCTTAAAGTAGAAATTAATATTAGTACTACTTACCAAGGCAGCTTTTACAGTTTTAAAAAATTATTTTCAATGGGGGTTGAGCAATCTTATGTGGAACTCTAGAGATTCATTTCAGTGGTTTTCTTTAACTTTAAATTAATTAACGGTTAATCTGTTACAAAGGAGACCCAGACACCAACTTTGGAAAATTACCAGAGTGGTTTTCCAAAGTGTAATTCATGAGGTCCATCTATGAAAGCTTGGAGGAAATTTTTATGTCTTAATAAATCTCATTAATGCTGTGTATTTTTATTATTTTGTGATCTATCAGAACATTTTTAATCCCTAAAGCAAAATTATACTTGTTTTTGTTTGATACAAAACTTTACCTGGATTTATAGTACCGTACTCTCCTTGCTTTAAGATTGTTTTTAATAGGCAGACTCTTTTCTGATATTTTATTTTAAACAAAAAGAAATTAGCAACTGTGAAATTCTACAGGATCAAAAATGTTGTGAAATATAAGAGTAGCACTGTATTTCTTAAATTGATTATCTAGAAAGCGTAGCAATTAGTACCGTGTTGCTTAATTCTTTCTTACAGTACAAGAGCTGTGTACCTTTTATCAGAGTAAATAAGGGCAAGATAAACCACTTTTTGTCTTACCTGACATATGATTCTGATGACCTTTCAGATAGAATCAAAAAAGTTCAAATTTAACCCAAAGTAAAACACTGAAGAGAAGCTGTCTCACTGATAGTAACGTGCAACCTAAGCACACCGTGTGGCTGTATTTATCATTACTTCCCCACAATGCAACACAAACAACTGTCCGCTGTCTTAAAGCACCTTACTCCAACTTCAATAAAAACCTCCACACAGACTTTTTTCGTTCTGCAGGAGCTGACAGCAGAGTAATGAGAGTTTTAGCTCTTTCAAGGGGAGACAGTCGCTAGAGAAAGTGAAAAGATAAGACAGTGAGACGTCTTGGAGAATTATTTTCTGCCTTTATCACCATTTTACTCCTTTATGAGCTTTAGCAACTCAAATGTATTTACCTGTCAAGGTGGTAAAGCCATCCAAGATTAAAAAAATCCAATGAAAGTGCAAGGAGAGGGAAGAGATAAAGTAAGTAAAGGTATTTGGCCACGGGGATGGAGGAACAGAGGGGGAAGGGAGGAATAGGTTTAGTTTGGCAGTGAAACGCTGGGAGAGTCAGCATTAGAGTTTGTGCAGCGCGGTATATCCTCTGCATTAGTATGTGTGTGTTTACAAGACAGGCATGTGAAGTGACCGTGGACTATGGTATTATGTGTGTCTCATACTGTAGTAAAGGATAAAATCCAAGTTTCTGAAGTACATGTAGAGTGGAAATAAAAAGCCCATTAACCCCTGTTTAAATTCTTCTTTTTTTTTTCATTAGAAAAATTATTTCTGAACTTTTTCCACTGTTGATGTGACATGTAACCTCTGTAAATGAATTAAAGAACAACCAGAAATCGTGCTGTGGGTAACTTATTAATATACCCAGAATTAACCAATACCTTAAAATGTATGTTAAATAGAAATCGTCACCCTCATCACTTTAAAAGTCTTTTCTTAAGCCCAAATATAGCTTTACTATTCTCACAAGCTTTTCTAATCAGATTTCAAAGCAAGTAGAAAGATCCATAGAGAGTTTTCAAAGAATCAGAGGAACCTTACTGCAAAGGTATTCAGGGGGAGACAACAAAATAATTTCCAAAGCATTTCAGCATAATCAAAAATTTCAAAAAATAGAAAATGATTTAGAAATTACAAACAACTGGACACTCCTCTAGGAGAGATTACGTAAAGAAAACCAGTCAAAGATCTAAGCAAGGACACAGGACATAAGAAGACCAACATAAATTTCTGACATCTAATAAGCGTATATGATTGGTCCCTCAGATGAAGTTCCAACATGTAAGGCCTTTTCTTATAAATTAATAAAAGACAAGCCTTGCTAAATTTAGCTTAAACACATTAAAGGTCTACCAGAAGCATATGGGAGAATGTGTCAAACTCTCATGAATTAAACTTTTCAAATGACTAACAAATACTGTGTGCTTGGCACCAAGAATACACTACACTGCATATCAACTCCTCCACACAGACAAACAAACCAATTAAAAGTGGAAAAGTTCTCAAATGATTTTTGTTGCTCCCATGTTTTGCATGGAAAAAAGTGGCTTTTAAACAGTAGTTTGTAGACTTTTTCACTCTCTGGATCCTGACATTTTTTTTTAACTAAAATATACTCCCTCTTTTGACCATACATGCAAAAACATAAATATATTGTTTAAAGCAGAGCTTTTGTTGGAAAAGTATTACAATATATGTAACTAACAACAGGCAGTTTTAAGAGAATGTTTGACTGAATATATTGACTGAGAATGTTTGGTACCTAGAGAATTTACACTATGATATTTTGGATGAAACCAACTTCAAAATAATTTTTTTTTCTGACAATTTAACTCATAACCTATTAAAACTTAATAGTAAAAAATATTGAAACATATACAGTAATATGTAGACTTTCCTAAACAAAGCGGGTGATATAGCTCCTATTAACCCAATATGATGACATCATAAACAGTCATTAAAGAGCAATTAGAGGCCTTGAGTTAATGACAGAGAAAAACAGTGATTTCTTCAGTAATTAAATTCAAGAATGTGTATAAAAATGTTCACTGGTTACCACTTGTAATCTAAAGACACCCTGATGGGAGGGTGGAGATGTATGAATAAATGAATGAATAAATGAATAAATAAATAGTTTCTTATTCCATCTATGATTTGGCTGAACTCTCTGCCAGGATTGACAGGAGGAGCTCCAGATCTCAAGAATAATGATAAAAAAAACCTTTCTGCAACTCTTAACAAAATAAAATTCTCTCATAATTCAAGTTGATAAAATTTCATATCCTGTATTCCACCTGATAATGCTGATTTCAATCAGCAAAGGCTCTGATAAGGGTAGGAAAACAGTCTCGATATCCCTCTGAGAGGAAATTAAAAAAAGAAGAAAATGAAAATTATTCTTTAAAACGTAAGTCGGTGTTCCTTTTTTTTCCCCCTTAAGGCAAAAGTTCGGTCACCTTCTTTGCAGTGAGGAACCCCTCAAGAGATCTTCAGAAATCTAAAGATTTACCAAGCATAGAGAAGTTCGGGTCCTGCTGAAGAGGTGGAGGAGGAGGGATGAACATTGCTCCAGGCTTTCTGATGATCTGCAGAGAATAAAAACTAAAAGTGGGTTTCAGTCAGGTTTAGGACCCCACTTTAGAGCATGTGTCCCATCTGCAGTGGTCTATAATTAAAGTTGATCTGAGCTCTATAAAAAATACAACAAAAATCTGTTAATTGTTTTCAGCTTTGCCCTGTGATGTCTTCATCCACTCAGGAAATAACTTCCCCACCTTCCAGCAGTCACACCTCCTTGCAGTAAAAAGCCCAGAGGAGAGATGCATTCTATTTTCCTTCTGATCTTTATTCCAACTTCAAACCTTTGCTCTTCTCCGGGGGGCTTTCAGTTCTGAGATTTGACAGGGGACCTCCAACCATGAGGAGGCCCATTACAGCAGAATGTGTGCACGTCGCCTGAGGGGGCCCCTGCTGCAACAGAGAAACGGATACACATCACTGCAGCTCTGCTGCTCCAGCAATTGCATCTTAGAATTCTAAAATATATCAAAGCCTCATAAACCAAAAGAACTGCTGGTCTGGTGATGCTGGAGGTGCATTCATATCTAAAGCAAAAGGGAAAATTTATCTATTGAGAACCCATTTCAATTTATGCCATCAAGGTAGTATAGGATAATGTTTTGGTTTTTCTTAAAATGAAACCCTGGGATAATTTTTTATAAAGCTGTGTCTCATGTATGTACAGAGACATAGATTTAGCTATTACTGCCAGTATTATCTACTTTATTTTTATGTCAAATAGAAGGAACATGTAGATTATCATTATTAAATAAAACAATCAATAGTATTGTTGCTACAAGTAGCTCTATTCACTTTTTTGCTAGTCCCCCCCCCCCGCCCCCCCCCCCCCCCATGGAAAAAAACCCTTGCTAACTGCTTCTCTGTTTAATTGTCTCTTGTTAAATTCACTTTGATTGAAAAATACTTTATTAATCTCAATGGGGAAATTTTCCTGAATAGAGCTGGCTGAGTGGAGTGGGGTTGATTTAGAAGACCCCCAGCAAATGCCGCAAAAGAGATGCTGACCACTATGCTTAGCTGTGTCTCCTTCCTAAATGTAGCTTGTGGTTAAGCTTTGCCTTTACTGATTGTGCAATCTCTTTATGTTTATTTTCTATAAAAAAGTGCCCAAAGGAAATGCCTTTGAATGTAGCGGTATCTTTCCTGGATGGATACACAGTCACTGATAGATTTATTGTAATCACTGACTTTTTGTGTCCTTTTTCTCAAATGAAAGCATCCCGTGTTTTGTTTTCTGTGATAATCGGTATACCACTTATTTTTCCTCAACAGACTTTTTGCTTCTGTGCTCTTGTTTGGGGGAATAATTTTCACTGTTATGCTGATGACACCAAGCAATATTTGACTCAAATTTCTTCTATCAAATCTAGGGTTAAAATTTAAAATCCTCCTTCTCAAAAATACAGGCCTAAATAACCAAACTCTATCTTATGTCAGATTTGTTCCTTATATTCTTAACGGCGCACTTCAGGTTTACTAGTGGCTCCTAGAATTCCTAAAAGTAGAATAAGAGGCAGATCTTTTAGTTATCAGGCTCCTCTCCTGTGGAACCAACTACCGGTTTGATGCAGGCACCCTGTCTACTAATAAGACTAGAATAGATCTTTTATTTTTAATAAAGCATGTATTTGTAGTGCTCACGTAATCCTGAGCTATCTCTAAAGTCATGCTACTATAGACTTAGACTGCTGGAGGACATAGAGACCCTTTTTCATTTATCTGCTTTATTCTATTTCTATTCTCCCAGCCTGCAGAATTTGTAAGTCCAAACCCTAACCTTATTTTATCTCTGCCATTTTTTTTATCATAGTAGATTTATCTGGTGTGGTCCTGTTTTGTTGGGAGACCATTCTGGATGGAAAAAATAGTTGGGCTGTTGCCTTCAACAACCTCAATAGATGATAGTGTTTGCTGTGACCAGTTGTATGTGCTCTCTTTTATAGCTTATCTTGCTTAATTGTTTATTTTCTAGACAGAGCCACGTATGCAGCTAATAGTCAGTGTTGGGCACGTTACTTTGAAAAAGTAATTAGTTATAGTTACTAGTTACTTCTACCAAAAAGTAACTGAGTTACTCCACAATAAAAGTAACTAGTTACTAGTAAAAGTCACTATTGCGTTACTTTTGCGTTTCTTGCCCCCGTAACCCTCACCACCCGGCCCCCACCTTCTCCCCGTGTATTTCCAAAGCCAGCTGAATAGAGGGGATGACAAAGACAAGAACCTGCAGAGAGTTTAGCATTTATTGCAACTCAACGTAAATGACATCAGGGGGGAACGCCATGTGAAGTTTTTTAACAGGGCATTCAGATCTGGTGAGTATATGAAATTAATAACTGGGGATGTCTAATTCTGAAATCCTGTGTGTTTGGGTTGTTATAGATACTGTAACATCTATCTATCCATCTATCTATCTAGATCTATACTCTGCGTGTGACATAAAATATGGATCTCCATCCCTGCCACAAAGGCCATCAAATAATGTTTAAAATAAAAAATACAGTAGGTTGAAAAGGCAGGGCATCCATCCATCCATCCATCCATCCAGATTTCTCCCTTTCATTTGATCGTTCACGCTCTCCATAGTTCCCCTGTGGCGTGAGCACAGGGCGACTGTTGCGCGCCTTTAGCGAACATGCGCATTTCCTGTCGCTTGCGCGGTGACTCTTGCCGCCTGCGCTGTGCGGAGATGCAGAGGAAACCGTATCTGATGGGGAAACGCAGCTCGACGTGACACCTGTATTTCCATGTGGAAAACGCTGTTTGCTGCTGGAGTCATCCTCACTCTCAATCTCTCTGTGTGTGCTGTACGTTAACACCCACCAGAAGAAACACCCACCTACCCAACTGACAGACGGAATCTCACTATACATCAGCCATTCTCATCCTCCCCTCTCTCATGACCAGGCGCGCACCTCTGGATGACCTAAAAAATTATCTTTAATATCTCTTAAACAAAAGTAGCACAAACAATATTTTTTTTCTGCACAAATCTGCACTAATGTTGTACTAACCATTCAGTCTATTTGCAGAGTTTTTTGACGTGGGTGGGGTGTCAGCTTCACGCAGCTGCGCACGAGTCCTATCATGAAAAAAGGATCAATGTGCGACCTGAGTAACGCGCAGTAACGGGGTGTCTGCAATGGTAACTGCGTTATAGTTACAGTCAAAGTAATTAGTTAGATTACTCGTTACTAAAACAAGGTAACGGCGTTAGTAACGCCGTTACTTTCAACGCCGTTAGTCCCATCACTGCTAATAGTCCATTACATTTTCTAACATAGAACATACAATTTCTAGATCAGTGCTTCTTTGTACCTTTGTATGTCTGCTTCTGTCTTCTTGAACCCCAAGTTGGCCTCAGCAGAAGTCTGCTCACACTGAGCCTGGATCTGCAGGTTTATTCCTGTTAAAAGTACTTTTTTCTCTCAACTGTCACAGCATGCATGCATACATGTGTTCCTCAGGAGCAGCAGTTCTCAAACTTGCTCTGTAAGTAACCTGTTTTATTGTTTTTTTTAACAGTAAGTGCCTCTTTTAGATGTTTCAACACACCTGATTCAAATGTTGCCATATGGTTATCCAGGAGGAGCAAAGTTTATGACTGGACTTAGTTAGCTGGGTTTCCTTGGTTAGAAATCTTTTAACCAACCTGACTGTATGATGTAGTTGAATTGTGTCTGTAAGATGTCATGATATGACATTTGCTGTGAAATGGTGCTATATGAAAAAACTCAACTGAATTGAAATTGTTTTTTTACTGCAATGGTAAGTACACATGAAAAGTACTTCTGTATTTACCCATGTTTCCTTCCTAGTTGGAGTACTAACTGAGCACTGTAGTCATTGACTTATAGAGTTGTTGTATCCATTAACTTTAGGTAGTCTCTTTGTATTTCTTTCCCATAGAACTTTTGCATGGCAAAGTAATTTTGTGTTTTTTAAATATAATTTCTGCTTAATTTTGAATTTGTTGCAGAAAATGGCTGCTCATTTTAAGCCTGTTCAGATGGATTTATCTGTGCTGGGTTATTCCTATAAAAAAATGGGGTTCCTTTCCACTGTTGCTGCAATTGATTGAGCTTCCTTAGAAATATATTTTTTCTGACGTTAAACATTTGAAATTGTGTTTATTGTGTTCTGCATTTTTTCAGACTGAACAAGATTGGATTTTTATGTATTTAGTCTGTTTTTAAATCAGTTTGAGCCACAGCAGATAAATATTTAATGTATGCTATGTTATCCATGAGGACATCTGTACTGCTAGAATCTCAAAGTGGATTGTAATGTGATACATAAAAAGTTTTTCAGATAGATAACGCTGTGAAAACAAATGTAATATTGTTGGATTCCATTTTCAGTTCACTGGAACAAGTTTGCTTGATATAAAAATACTCATAAAACTTTGATGAAATATTCAGTCTGTACGATGCTTCATGATGTCTATTGTTCAAATGCGTTGTTGGTTATGGGATTTCCAAGAATAATAATATATGTTTATTCAAATAGATGGATGGGAAAGTTTGACTGAAATTCAATTCACTTTCAATTCCTTTCAGTTTATTTTACTTTGCAGATTCAGAGCCAATGTTATCTCAAGGCACTTCACAAAGACTTTTTAATCAAACCGTATAGACAGATTGGGTAAAAGTTTTCTATTCAAGGAAACCCAGCTGATCGTGTCAGACCATTGACTTTACAGATGAGCATGTGGAAAAAGTAGACATTCGCTTAAATAGTTTCGTTGACTCGACAGCAGCCCCTCACAGCAAGCATGCATGTAGCAACAGAGGAGAGGAAAACTCCCATTTAACAGGAGGATTCTAGGCTTGTGAAGAGAGGCAGATACGGCAAAGGGACACAGAAGGGCTGATCTATTTATCATTTCTATGTTACAGTAAGTATCGGGTGTCTAAAGTTGGTCTAAAAGTTGAAAAAGAGCACATACAGGTACCTGCATCATCAAGTATTTCAGAATATATAAATGACTAGAATGAAAGTCAAACATTCTTATGGTTGACTCATAGAACATAGTAAGCTTTTCTTAAAGTTACTTCACATCTTCAAGAAATCTTTGAGCAAAACAAGCTGATTAGAGACTTAAACCCAAAGCACACCTGACCTTATATCTGTCCCAACAAAAAGCTATATTAGACCATTAATACAATTGATATCTCCATTTTGGCAGTTCTGCTCAACATGTATACTTTAGCCTTCATATTTGATGGAGAACCAAGAAGAAGAAAGTTTTTTAAACATGTCTTACTAAGTTCCAAAAAAGTAAAAAAAAACAACAATCCACTGGACTTTGTTTCCTAGTTTGAAGAAGTTTCGCTTCCCATCCAGAAAGCTTTTTCAGTTCAAAATGTCAGAAATAGTGTTGAGTTTGAGGCTTTATAGAGTGGACCAAAAACAAAGCTTTGTTTGGCTTAGAAAACATGCAAATTGAACTGGACGAACAGATCCGCCACTTTGGAATGGAGGTCCTTTGGCTTCTTTGTTTGCCTGCAATACCAGATACCTGTCTATACCTCTGAAAGGGGGGTCATTAAAGGGAATTTTTGGCCTGGCTGAAATGGCGAGGTGTTCTGTTCCCCTCTAAGGGTGTGGGGGTTGCGAAGATTGCGGGAAGGAATAAACTCTATCGCTGCATTGTAGTTTTTTTTAAAGCTGAAATCTGAGTACACCCCCTCTGTTTAAGGTTAATTTTTCTTTTTTAACATAGGTTGCTTTCTTCACGCCCCTCTCAAACAACTTATCTTCTTTGTCTAAAATGAGAACATTCTGGTCCTCAAAAGAATGCCCTTTGTCCATAATGTTGCTCTTCTGTGTTGGGCCATGCGTCTGTGGAGAGGTTGTTTGGTTTCTCCAATAGAAATATCAAAGCATTCCTCACTGCATTGACCTGCATACGCCACTCTGCTCATATTTAGTCTGGGATTTTTGTCTTTAGGATACACAAGCCTCTGTCTAAGGATCTTGTTTGGTTTGAAATGTACTGGGATTTTGTGTTTGGAGAAAATTCTCTTGAGTTTTTCAGAGACTCCAGCAACATATGGGATGGTGATGTTTTTGTGTTTAATCTTCTCACTGTTATGTTCTGCTGTGCGTCTTTTGGATTTCTTTGCTGATTTGACAAATGCCCAGTTTGGGTATGCACAGGTTTGAAGAGCATCTTTCATGTGTTTCTGTTCTTTGTGCTTCCCTTATGTTTTAGAAGGGACATGCTTGGCCCGGTGTTGTAAGGTTCTGATGACTGAAAGTTGGAAACAAAGTCCAGTTGATAGTTTTTTTTATTTATTTTGGAATTACTATGACATGTATGACTGAGAATCTTCACCAACATTTCTTACTAAGGTGCTGTGTACTATTTTGCCTCACACACTGAGTACAAGAATAAAAGAGATTAAAATCTCCAGAGCTCACTGTTAGAAAACTGCAGCAAAAAGTGACTCCAAGAAGGACAGAAAAAAGTCTCCATAAATATAATTATATATCTTAGCAAATCTTTCCAGAAGTATTAATTGCAAAGCTGCTTATTGAAACTTTATTTTCATAGTTTGAGTAATATTCCAGGGTTGAGACATTGAGGGTTATCTATGGACTTACCTGTTGAAGCCAGCAAGGCAGCATGTTTCAGTAAAATCCAATTCTGTAACAGAATACTGGATATCAGCTTTAAGAGAAATGTGTTTGTGTTGGCCATTCGTTTCTTTAGGTCCTCTTTAATTTAGATATTTTGACGTTAGACTTCAGCCAAAAACACTAGTTACTAAGCAACTGGCAGGCTGGCAGGACGGCGGAGAGCCGCTGGAAACAACTCGTCTCATTTCTGCAGTCAAACCGATTCAACACAGCCTTGTTCATTCTGTCCTCCAACTCTCCTGAGCCTCCTCTTGCACCTCCTCCGTATCCTCCTCCATATACACAGCTAAAAAAAAAAAATAAATCTTCGAGGTGAACTTCACATAAAGTTTGAAGTCTTTAAAGTCTCTAAATCATTAGAAAATATAGTTAAAAAAATTAAAAAAGGAACACATTCTTGTCCCATGAGAGACAGCAACCCTAACATGTTACCCAGCAGGTGGTTGATGAAATCCTTGCTCACCTTTAGTGCTCCAACATTACCTTGATGTTTTCACTGCATCACTGCTAACTCCTGCAGTGGTGCTGCTGTTGGAGACCTGCAGAGCTAAGGGATTTCAAGAACATTCACCAGATCTGAACAGAAATCACCACTGCTGACTGGACAGCAAGAATTTTAATTAACACCCAGCAAAGTCGCCAAATCGCAAGATTTGGTGGTTTTCCCAAACATTTTGCAAATATGCCAAAGGAGCAATCTATTTAGAAATATATAATTTGATCTTTGCCTATTTGAATAAGAAAGCTAATTACTTGAGTTTTGTTCAAAGAAACTGACTTTATTTAGGCTGCTGGTGTGTTTCTGCTCAGATGTGCTACCTGCCCGGCATGATGAGACAATGATCAGAGGTAAAACAACAAAAACATAAAATGCACCTTTCTGTTTGTTTAACAGCAGCTGGTTGCAGGATTTGGATGCCCATCATTGAATTCAAGACTAATAAAGAATTTTTAGAAGTAGCTGAATTTGGTAGACAGATGCACATTTCTATATTTCTATTGGTTTGAGTGATTTGTTTACCTTTTTTTTCTTACCTAAAGAGGATTTAGTTGTCCCCTATGTCTTTTCCTAATTGTATGTAAAATAATTACTTTAAAACTAAAAGTTCAGACAAACTGCCTCCTTGTTTTGGTCATATTAAAAACCATTTAATATAACTTGTCACTGGTTGAAAGAAGAGAAGCAACAGAAAATGTGCATTTAGGTAGTTGCCGTTTTCCTTCAGCATGATCATTGCCTCATTTTACATGTTTAGTTGTCAGGGTTGCTGCCTCTCAGGCTGCCTGTCAGGAAATCCGGTAATCAAACGTGTCCTTCTCCATGTAGTCTGTCCAGGTGGAAGATGGCATGCTGCGGTAGGGGTCAAGTAGGATCCGGAAGCAGCGGACAATCAGTAGACCAAGAAAAATAAAGAGGATGAGGACAAAGACGAAAGCTGCCCTCTGTTCGAGCGTGAGGAAGGAGGTGGAGGATGAAGAGGAGGAGGGGAAGTCTGATTCAGAAGCTGAGAAAGTGCTGCTGTAGAGGTCGTCAGCCATGTTCCAATGAGGCCACTGATTAGTCAGTTCAGCATGCGATCATCCTTATCGATCCATTCAACAACTGCTTCACAGTAGACGAGTAAACTTGGCAAAAATCTGAAAAGAAAAACATTGTGTTTACTATAAATTCCAATGGGCCTTAAAATCACATAATTTTCGATATTTTGAAGTTCTAAAAATAATAATTCAGCATTGTTCTAAGCATCTTCGACACAAAAAGCCACACCTCTATAAAATGAAACATGCTTACTGTGTATAAGATTGTTAAAGCTATTACAGGTGTTTGTGGGCTTTACGTTCATAGAACAAAGGGATTTTTTTTTTTTTACTTTTACAGTATTTAGACTTAGACTTATCGTAGACTTGGACAACTTGTATTGTCATTTTGCATACAAAATGAAATTAATTTAGTACAGCTTTCTAGACAGTAGATGAACAGTTCCATAGTGCAGCAGTGGTCAAATGTAAACAATTCAAGAGAAAAAAAAAAAAAAAAAACGTGATGCAAAAACGCATTGATATAGAAGTTCAGAGCATCAATGGTGCAAATATGCAGTATTTTTGGTTTGGTGACAGACCGGGTTAGCTGCTCTGATAAACTGTATCCTAAAATCTTAAAAACTCAATGTGTATCAAAACTGAAGCAGAAAATCTAATTAAATTGAATGCCGCCACATTTTTGGGATTTCCAATACAATTTTTGCCACATGATCTCACAGTGATGGTTAAAATCAATGGTAAGCTTACCTGGTCTTTCAGCAACTGCCTATCAGGAAACATTTAATTATCAGCCTCATTAACAAAAGATGGAGCTGAAGACTTATTTTGATAGGTCAGACATTGTCTTTCTAAAGCTATTCTTAGCTGAGGTTTGGACTGCCATTTGTTACTAACTGCCAGTAACTGATTTATTCTAAACGTTTATAATTATTAATGATAATTGTATGTTGGCCTATAATTGTATGTTGCAATAAAATATTTCTGATTCGGAATCATTTGCTTCATTTCTTTCATTAGTTTTCCTTTTTTAAACATATTTCTGACTTATAAAGGAATATATATATATATGCAACCCAAAAAAAACAAAAAAACAACAACAGTAAGTTATTAAAGTAATTAGATTAACTCATAAAGCATTTTTCTATAAAGAGTAAAAATCAATATAAAAAAATCTCTCAGACCCATGTATAAATGACATTTTAAAACATGTATCTTGGCTCAGTTGTAGGCTCTGCTTTCAATACAAAATGTGTATATTACTGCCACAGTAAGAGGCATACCTATTAACCCACATTATTCATTAAACAATATAACTCAACCATATCTAACTGACAATGATGGTGTTAAAAGGAGAGGCTGCCAAAATAACATTAGCTGTATCCTATACAAATACAATAAAGCTTCTTCTTCTCCAGTATTTTTGATTAATCATGTTAGTTAAACACGTTTCATTTCACTTCTGATCTGTTTAACAACGTGTAAAGCTGCTGTACATGTAACGGAACAATGACTTTGATACAGCAATGATAATGCAAATGTCTGTAATCACAATAACTGAAAATGTCTGAAAGGAACAAATACATGTGTTTTTTTCTACACACAGACAGAAATTATCAAAAGTGAGAAAGAAAAATACTGCACATTTACATGTAAATTGATTTTTACTCTTGTTGCAGTGAGTAGTCAGCAGAGGAACTAAATGCAGGACTAAACAAGCAGGGGGACAGCACAGAATACCAATTAACTTGATGTCACAAAAACAAAACCTGAGGCGCTGCCAAAGCTGCGAGTCTTAACTGAGAGCATGTAACACTGCAGGAAAACAGGGTGGTGCAGTAAGAGGACACAGAAAGGAATTTTGTAGGAAGTGTTGCAGGGAGGAGCTTGGGTTTACAGGTGAAATGACTACAGGTGAGCTTAAAGCAGCAGGGGATGACTGGATAATCTGAGATAGGATCAAGTAGGGAATATTCTTTAAGATGGAAGAAATTATAAAATGCAGATAAGGAAAATTACATCAGGAGGAACTGAACATAGCACAAATGAAAAAAATAAAACTCTTCTAGCAAAAAATGGTCGTTACCTCCTCCCAAATTGAGGTATTAACAACAAAAAATGGTTTATGGAGCTGCTTTGGGGATGAGGGCACTGGTGCTAAGAAAGCACTGTATTTAATAGGGGGGCCACATGCCGAAGGCATGGCCCACCTACTACTATCGCTCATATTTATTCCGCGTATTATTGGGGGGCCACATGCCGAAGGCATGGCCCACCTACTACTATCTCACATATTTATTCCGCGTATTATTAGGGGGGCCACATGCCGAAGGCATGGCCCACCTACTACTATCTCACATATTTATTCCGCGTATTATTAGGGGGGCCACATGCCGAAGGCATGGCCCACCTACTACTATTGCACATATTTATTCCGCGTATTATTAGGGGGGCCACATGCCGAAGGCATGGCCCACCTACTACTATCTCACATATTTATTCCGCGTATTATTTTTATTATAGCTTATAGTTCTCCTCGCCACCAAAAACTTCGGCGCGTAACTAGTCACGCACCATTCGTCGGATCGGGCCCAAAGTTGGCACACGCGTAGAGACCAATGGGGCGATGCGTGCTTGTATAAAACTTTCTCATTAGTCCGAAGGTTTGCGAATTATTAGCGAAAACGTCGCAAAAAATTCCCATAGGAAATGAATGGGGAGAGGAAAAAAACAGCATAAAAAACAGCGCTTCACTGTGTTGGCATACATTCACGTAGAAAAACAGTTTAAAGCTCAGTTTGTAGATAAATCCTTCGTCTGCATAAAACTGAAGACGGCATGTTGATAACTGCTACGGTTTTTGTATAATCAGACCTCAAGCGCCACAAAGTTTTGGCAAAATCCAGCCTTCTAGAGTGGAGAGACTGAAAAGCTAGAGTGTGAGGCAGCCGTTTTTTTAAGACCCAAAAACATTTTAAACTCGCCCTCACGGCCACATATTTATAGCTAGAGTCACCATTTTTGGTCAGTTTGTAGACTGAAATCTCTGGACCCACACAATGTCTTCGGAATTACGGTAGGATTAATACTTTTCCTTAAAAACCCTCCAGACCGACCTCAAGTCGATGAAAATCAGAGCCGTTTTTCATTGGTTTTGGAACAGCAGAGGGGAGAAAAACGAATGACATTATGTGTTTTAAACTCGTCATAAATATTGTTCTGAAAGACACACATACACCAAAGTTGGCATAGTTGGAGTCGAAGGATGGCTGACGCTCACGGTGAAAGAATTTTTTGAATAACTCATACGGTTTTTGCTCAGCAGTCGTTTGTTCGGAGGACATTTTAAGCACCAGAAAGCTGGGTGACAGTGTCCTGCTGCAGCTAGCTCAATTAGAAGCTCAGGTGTGAGGAAACGTTTTTTTTTTTCTTTCTCTTCCCATTCAGGTTGTAGATGACCTACAGCCATGAAAGTTACTCTAATTGAAGTAAAGATATAGCTGTAGCTTAGATAAAAATAATTTTTCAGATATCATTTATGGTTTTTACTCAGCAGTCATTTGTTCGGAGGGGGGCTTTAGCAGCTTAAAGGTGAGTGAAAGTGTGTTGCTGCAGCTAGCTCAGTTAGAAGCTAAGGACTGAGGACCCGTTTTTCTTATTCTTTCTCTTCCCATTCAGGTTGTAGATGACCTACAGCCATGAAAGTTACTCCAATTGAAGACAAGATATAGCTTTAGCTTAGATAAAAATAATTTTTCAGATACCTTTTACGGTTTTTACTCAGCAGTCGTTTGTTCGGAGGGGTGCTATAGCAGCTTAAAGATGACAGAGTGTGGTGCTGCAGTTTAAACAAAGGGAGGAGCAGGTGGGATCAGCCATTTTGTTTGTGCTTCGTTTTGGGTTGTGAAAGACCTACAGACATGAAGGTTACCCCAGTCTGAGACAAAGGATAGATGTTTCTTTCACTGAAAGAATTTTTCTAATACCTTTTACGGTTTTTGCTCAGCAGTCGTTTGTTCGGAGGGGTGCTATAGCAGCTTAAAGGTGACAGAGTGTGGTGCTGCAGTTTAAACAAAGGGAGGAGCAGGTGGGATCAGCCATTTTGTTTGTGCTTCGTTTTGGGTTGTGAAAGACCTACAGACATGAAGGTTACTCTAATTGAAGTAAAGATATAGCTGTAGCTTAGATAAAAATAATTTTTCAGATATCATTTATGGTTTTTACTCAGCAGTCCTTTGTTCGGAGGGGGGCTTTAGCAGCTTAAAGGTGAGTGAGAGTGTGTTGCTGCAGCTAGCTCAGTTAGAAGCTAAGGACTGAGGACCCGTTTTTTCTTATTCTTTCTCTTCCCATTCAGGTTGTAGATGACCTACAGCCATGAAAGTTACTCCAATTGAAGACAAGATATAGCTTTAGCTTAGATAAAAATAATTTTTCAGATACCTTTTACGGTTTTTACTCAGCTGTCGTTTGTTCGGAGGGGTGCTATAGCAGCTTAAAGGTGACAGAGTGTGGTGCTGCAGTTTAAACAAAGGGAGGAGCAGGTGGGATCAGCCATTTTGTTTGTGCTTCGTTTTGGGTTGTGAAAGACCTACAGACATGAAGGTTACCCCAGTCTGAGACAAAGGATAGATGTTGCTTTCACTGAAAGAATTTTTCTAATACCTATTACGGTTTTTGCTCAGCAGTCGTTTGTTCAGCAGCTGTTCCTCCCATTCAAAAAAGCCTGAGAGCTAAGGAACGATAGT